CCCCCCCCCCCCCCCCCAACCCCCTCCCTCGCCCATTGGACAACTTTTCCTAGGGCATTTGCTATATTGTTTTAGCATAGGGGTGGAGCATTGTCAAAGGTAATGGTATCTTTCAGATTTTAATAGACTTATATCTTTTGTGGTTTAATTTCAATTTACTAATCATCCAAATGCAAAATTTATTCAAATTGAGGTGATAAACTGTGTTTAACTCCAGCACTTTTTAACTGAACCTGAACCCCACCCTCACCCTCTCTTGTGAAAGCATTTGCACTTTTCTTTGCCAGTGCAAGACAAGGGCAATACATTCAATTTAGTCAAGCACTTATCTATTGTTATCATCAGTTGGAGTGTTTAATTGTCAGAGCAGATTTCGATTGGGTGTTGAAATTAATCAGGCAATTACTTTTGTTTTGGTTTTGGTTTTACTACGGTTTGAGATTGGCTGAGTAGTCTAATTGGTAGGTAATTGGTTTGGTTTTGGTTTTACGACACTCAGTTAATTGCACTCACCATTTGCAGAACTGTCTTTAATGACTCTTATCACTAGTACACTGTAGTTGAGTTTGTATACATGTAAATATGAAAATATGAGTATAATGTCCCTGACAAAATGGAATGCCAGTAATGTTGTTGCATTATTTGCTAAGGTTTGTTACTTACCAGAAATGCATTACTTCTAAAAACCATGCCAGGGGTTACAGACGTGAACAATTATTGCTTGAACACCACTGATTGATCATTAAAATAAAATTTGACCTTGTCCCATAAGTCAGGCATTTGCAGTCTTCCTGAAGCTTCACTGTGGGAATTTGTATCAACGGACTGTCTCACCTTGGGGGGTGGGGGGGATACAGTATGGCATAATTGCAACATTTTTTCCAAGAAATGACAAATGCCCAACAAGTACCTTAGGGGGAGGATGAGTGGACTGGAATCAACAGAGTAATAGGTCTGAATGCAGTCAAATTCAGTCTGTAATCATAAATAAGAGTGAACAACAAAATTGACAACCTCCATAGCTAGTGGTAGTGTGATTTCCCACGAGTATGATGATAAACAGAATTGAGCAACACAAAGTCCTATTGTTAGAGTTAATCTTAGTCACAAAAGAAAAAAAAAAGAAGTAAATATGGGGAGAAATATATGAAACTTACTGAGGTTGGTTGGAACACCAACCTCAGTAAGTTTCATATATTTCTCCCCATATTTACTTCTGTTTTTTTAACAGGGTCTGCTGCTAAATACAGGTTTTACTGGACTGTATAAATGGAGTTAATAAAGATGGTTTCGAAATGTCATTTGCTTAGCTGTAGACTCACAATTGTTTAAGCTGTGAATATTCTGATCTTTTTTCAGATTCAGGATATCTTGGTGTAATTGTTCTTGGTGATTCAGTGGCAGCCCACTTTCATATCCCCCCTGAGTGGCTGACAGCACGCCTGTTCTCTGCCAGAGCTTTTAGTAATGTTGCCTTTATAGTTGAGAATGAAATGGATTGGCCCCAGCTGTCATTGTATACTGGCTACTTGAGGTCGTCAAGGTAACCACAACACTATTCATATTTCTGAAGTCATTGTTGCATCTTCAAGTGTATTAAACTTAAGTAGATGGTTTAGGCACATGTAGAGTAGAGCGCTAGGTGTTTGATGCAACCATCGTAATGCTACCCTGGATGTCAGAGTGTTTACTTTTGTTCAACAACTATTAGATATAAGCAGACACTCAGCTGTGTTCTCTTGGAAATCCACTAATCTGATATATATATATCATTATGTCCTCTCATTGTTTTATAATTGCTGATAGACAATGATCATGGGTGCTGCTCTTACAACTGAAAATTGTTCTTATTTATTGATAAAGTTTAGACTTAAAATTCCTCGAAAATTCAGATTTTTGTCCTACGTAATCCTTTGGAGTGTCTACTAAAACAATTCTAAAGACTCCTCTATGGCAAGCCGTTTGTAGCAAAATTCAATCCTTGCAATATATGTTTAATCCTTTAAATAATGGTTTTATTTAAACATATAAAAAGGCATTCAATCCAATG